AGTTGTGAATATTGCAACAGTATGCTAGTCTTTATAGAGTACTGACATGTGTAATTTGGATTCGACACGCTGATGATACCAACAGCGCGGACCCCCATAGGGGTATCGGCAATTACTGTTACTGCGACGTTGATCGTACGACCCACAGGATAAGGAAAGATGAAGAAGAACTCGCTAACAGAGTTTTGTAGGCAAATGTTATACCCACGGAATAAGAGGAGGTCATAAGGTTTGTGACCCTGTGGGCAAAGAGATACCATGCCCACGCAAATAGCGTGCTTTTCAAGGATATCAACGGCTCCAACGACAAGTGCATCGTTGGCGACACATGCTCGGATTCTGGGGGTCCGTGGACGAGACTCGACGACATGAGTGTCGGCATGGATAACGGGAATGAAGACGCTGGCATTTTGGTGACGCACGCAACAGCATGATAGGCAGCCTATTTTCTACGCTCTATTCCATGTTTCCAATGCAACAGAGATGAGAACCCTTCACGACCACAACTCCCTCACCATCATGTCAAACCACACGTACTCGTTTGGGTATTCATCTAGAATGCCGGCGACGTATTCGTGCCAATCGTCACGCCAGTTCCCACAGTCAAACATGGCCGAGGCGTACTCCCAGTAGCTTGGATACCAGCCCGCTGACTCCCAGTCAACCAGGCACAAGTTGCCGTCGTCTCCAAGAAGCACATTCTTTCGCTGCAAGTCCCCGTGAGAAAATACCGACGCATGGTCACAAAGGACGCGGGGCAAGACACGACGGTAAAACCTGGCCTTGGAAGGCAGCCACTGTTGTAGAGATACTTTTCGACCAGGGCATTGTTGAGCTGTGCTTCAGTGTCAAATGGGCCACTGATGAGCCCATGGTCCTTGCTGTCCTCTTGGCGTGTCCAAAATATGCCTTCTTCCATGGGTCGTCGCCCAATACACCCAAAGTATCCAGGAGAAGGAACGCTCCGTAACTTGTCCAACATGAGCCGCAGCTGTTGACTTGTATTCGACTTGTCTGCAGCACTCATGGTATCCCAGAAGTTGTCCAGGGACTTGCCTTGAATGTACTCCATGACGATGTAGCTGACTTTGGTTCCGCCTGGATGTATGCGTGAATAAAGGGCGAAAACCTGCGGTACTGAAATATCGCACGTCTCCCGCACGAAGAGCATGTTCTCCCCCTCGGTCAAGCTAACGAGGACGCCGTACTTGACAACGAAATGCTGGCCGACACGAACAATACGCCGGCCATAACCAGCTTTGAGGACGTCGCTAGAGCACTTGATGATTGCATCTGTCGGCAGCGGCTCTGGCAGTCGACCTGGAGCGGCGAAGTATGGCATCGGATAACGGCCCGTGGTTGTGCTCACTTCCTGGGCAGTGCTTGGCGAGGGCCCAGTGCGTGCAGTAGTCGAAGGAGGCGTCGTGAAGGAGGAGAAGCAGGACATTCTCGTAGATTTCATTGATAGCTCCGAGGCAAGTCGCGCTGGATCAGAGAGAGCCGTCGATTGAGTGCGGAGGAGCAATGCTCAAATGAAGATGTGGTCAAGGCGAGACGCTCCATGCCAAGCGGCCTACCCTGTACCCAGATATAGATAATAGCTAGCTAGTGGTTATCGCGGGCTATAAGGCTACTAATATCGCGGAAATACGCAAATTACTATATATATTATTAAAAGTGAATTTTCAAAGCTTGAAGACAATAAAAAAGATAGAATAACTTAGCACAAATCCCCGGCAAAAAGATTCCTTATATTTTATCTTTCAGATTTAGTTCTTTGCAATTTGCCGTCATATACTAGCCGTGTATACTTCGTGGCCAGGTTTACCTTTGTAATAGTGCGTAATACCGCTATAATTATAATACTATTTTAGTAAATAGGGAACGCTAAAGTGGAGAATTCTATATTTTCTCGTGTGAGAAAAACCAGGTATAAGGGTAAACCGCTATTTATCCGCTATTGCTCGGCTGTTCTGCTATTGTTACACGGAAATGGCGTTGGTTACACAAGGGTTACGGTCAGGGTATTAGGGCAGAAGGCCCTCACCGACTTCTTGTATTTAAAAACGTCTTTGACATTTAAGGCTTTAAGGAAAACCAAGGACCTTTGATGCCAAAGACTGTTATTAGATAAATTGAGCCAAATTGCTCTAAGCCCTCTATTGAGCCCTTGTCACAGCTATGAACTTGTAACGCCAATTGCAATAGTAATTGGAGATGTAATCCTTAGAGGCAGGTTTCCTGCTTCAAGGTAGACAAATAGGTTTATCTTGTAAGCCACATAACTTACTATAAAACTCTTTGCCGGGTCAAGTATAACCCCCCTCCCCTCGCCAAAAAAAAGCTCGTAACTTTATCAACTAAACCTTAAACAAGAAAAGCAAAAGTTAAAAGATCCGCAATATTTAGGCTGCCAAATTACCTATCTATTCTGCGATGTGGCTGCTAGCCTAGCAACAAGACAATCCTGCAAGTATAAATACACGGCATGGCCTCTAATATTATACCGACAAGAACTACCGTAAACAAACAGCACACAATACCGCAAGAACTTTCTCTTTTACACCAAATACTATAATATGTATACTGCAAGTATTCTCGCCGCTGCCAGTATTGTGGCTAGCGCTGTTGCCGCGGACCCGCAATTCAAACTCTTTGCAGATTACAATTGCCAAGGATATGGCTATCAACATATCGCTCCAGTAGGGTCATGCCGCCCTATTTCGAACTCGTATCTGTCTCTGAGTGCGCCGTACGTTGGGCCACAGTGTACTTGTAAGTCTTATAGCAACCCCGTGACTAATACAAGTTCTGGAGGCTTACTTGAGGTTAGTTACAATCTATAGAGATGGATCTTGCAACATCCGTAACCGTGCTGTCGAATCCGGAACTTGTGCCAGCCACGACCCTACCGATACTTGGGGTAGTGTGCAGCTAGTCTGTGGCGGCAGTGGAGTGTACATGTAAGAGAAAGTCAATAGGATAAATACTGCCTGTAGAGGGTACTCTCAGTCGTTGTATGGAGTTCTCTTTTAGAGTTTAAGCTCGGCCGACTGTGAGTGGGGTTGCACTATTAGTAGTTCTTAGGATTAATAGGTAATATGTTCGTCGTATATATACCTGGGAACCATAACAGACCATGTAACATCAATGATGCCAAAGGTAGCCTGACAGTCTGACCGAGAGCAGCAACCAGACTGTCCAGTTTTCTGTTCAATGTTCTATTCCCAATGTGGTCTGGCCTGTAGCAATTCACTGGCAATCAAACATGACGCCACAAACCATCACCCCGTATTCGAAGCGTTGACCCATAGAATACGTCGCTGCAACTATCAGCCACACGGTCGGCCACAAACGTCATTGCTCATCTTCCCCAAGAGTCATGTTCCGGGATCTAGACCGCAGTTGCTAATCTGTATGCCTCGTATGCGGCACGGAACAAGCGGAGAATTGTCCATGACGCGCTTCTGGGTTGTACAGGCAGCTGACTTTCGGAGCTTATCCGGCGTTCACAACTCACTGCCATCAGAATTAGCGCCGTGAACCCACGTACCGGTGTAATTGATGAGGTTTATAATGTGGATATTTTATACGGCAGCTATTTTCCTGCAGGACCCCACGGCCCAGATGACACAATATCCACAGGGGAGACCAACGTTTCCGGCAGAAGACGGGCAATCCTGTTATCAAAATCGCCGAGTTTTGCAACTGGAAGTGGGACAAGGAGCACATGTTACATTTTGTATTGTAGATGATGAAATTATGCGTCTGTAGCTCCCTGTAAAGCTCCAGTCGTATATTGCCTGGCTGTTGTCCGAAGCTGTTTACCATGTCTGGAGGACTAGACACGGCTCAGCCCTGCGCAGCAAAGTGTTTCGTCGCGTATACTCTTTGCCATATGGATGTCGCCACTGGCACATCCTAGAGTACCCGATATGGATTTCTGTGCTTTCTCTGTAGATGCAGTGAGATGTACAAGACCTTGAGGATATCCCTTTTATTCATAGTATTTATTGGATGGACCTTTGGAGTACCAATCTCAGTATGTTGATAATAAACCCAGCTATGAACTATGTGATCTCGTACCAAAAGTCATACTTTGCGCTTTATAGTTATTCATTGTGCCACTGCTGGAGACATTTCTTGACTGGCCCGTTCCCCCAGTGGCGATGTTCTGGTTGAAGGTTGTCTCAATGCCCTCTAAATCCGTAAGCACACACACACACACACATATATATATATACATATATATGACATGCGATTGACATTCAACTACATTCAACTTTGCCTGGATATCGTCGAAGACGCTGTCGCTGCGGCAAAATTCCACCAGACCCCTTGTGTTTGTGGCAGTCGGCATAGTCGCAAAATCCCTCGACTACGATGGAAGGGACTTCGTCCCAGACTCCTGTGCCCTCCTGCTCGAACACAATTTCGCCCGCATCCCCGGAGATTTGGTTCCGGTCGGCAGCAGACTTCATCACTGTATCGTATCTCCGCACGCAACACCCCCGACATTTCGTCTGGGCGACTTGAGTCTGGAGCTGCTCGAGAAAGTAAGCTGTTCGATGGTCTACCATGTGGAGACCCCGGTCAGTTTCGCCAGGTTTCGGATATCCTTATAGTTTTAAGTAAAAAAATACAAAGCTAGCTATTAGTTGAATAAACTCTAGTTAAGCTTCTACCAGTAAATCCTTTTCTAGACTAGGTTATAAAGAAATAAAAAGCACGACGCTAGCATAAGCGTGAACATAAAAACCTACTCGGCATTATTTTATTTGTCAACAGATAATACAAGCTCCCAAGTTCCAAGAACGCCAGCTAGGCCCGGTCATTCGAGAGTAGGCATAGGCACTCCCGGTGCCCTCCCTCGCACGTCCGGGTCAAATCCAGGCGCCTTGGCTCCCATTGTCCCGTCCGAGTTGACAGTCGACCCAGGAACACACGTCCCGTTCCTAAAAGCAACCAGCGCCGCCCGTCGCCACGTCTCAGCCACGTCGGTGAGCATCTTACTCGTGTAAAACAGCCTACAATTCGCAGCCTGATACTTGAAATGCAACGGGAACCCGTCCACATCGTCCTGCGAGTAGCCATTTCGCAAGTTGACCGACCCGCCGCTGCCGGGCTCTTCCATGAGCGGCAAAAGAGGCGCATCCCGGACGCTGGGGATGGACCGAGCCCGCTGCCGACGAGCCTGGCCCGCGCCGATTCTCACCGCGTCGGCGGTAATTTTTTTGATCTCGGCGTTGGAGAGGACCTGGGTGCCCTTGACGCCCCCTATGGCCTGCATGGGCTTGTTGAGGGGCCGCCCGCCGAGGGCAATGGTGCGAATGCCAAAGTTGCGCACCAAGAGGCCCGTGAAGATGGTGCAGGCCGACGCGCACAGCCCGTCGGTGAGAATGACCATGTTCTCAGGCTTCCAGGGGGGCTCGCGCCTCGCCGCCGCCTTGTTGGGCTCGTAGCCGCGCAGAAACACGTCCGGCTTGATAAAGTAGCGCGCGGACGCGTCCCTGCGAAACTCGGCAGTCATGTTCTGGCCCTGGATGGGCCTGGGTGAAAACAAGGCATCGGGAGAGTCGATTGTGCGGTTCGCCGCGTCAATGGGTAGTCCCTCTGGCGCGACGAAAAATCCCAACACGTCCTTGGGGCTTGCGGCGCGCGCTAGGAAGTTCAGCCCGCTGTTGACTCGGTACCGGTCAAAGCTGTCGAAGCGAGCTCCTGGGAAGAAGGTGGTGTATGCAAAGTCTGTGAGGTCTAGTGACCCGCCGCTGTTGGCGGACATGTCGATGATGAGCTTGTCCCGGCCTTGCTCCTTGGCTGCTTTGGCTGTTTGGTCAATGACGTCTCCGAACTGGCGCACAAATGAGCTGAGAGAAGTTTCATTGGCTGTAATATCCTCTTCTGCGAGGGAAACGAAACTAAGGAATGAAATGACCATGGTGTCGCGCATCTCGGTGTCGTTTAGAGCATAGCTCGCTACAAATTCATCAGAGTGCTTGACCAGGGGCGTTGGATAATTAACAAGAGCAGACTCGTTGCCAGGTGGTGCCGGCGGCGGAGTTTGGGGTTTGGGTCGTGGCTTTTGTTGGTTCCGGGGAGGAATTTCAAATCTCTTTTGGAATTCTTGGCCGGACCGGATGCCTTTGAGATTTATATCTGGAAGAGTAACAATGGAGTTTGTCACAGTCCGCAAGGTGCCGTTTTTATGTGCAATGGTGTAGCTGTCCGGGATCTCGAGGATGGATAACCTAGCTGCGCTTTCACCTCCGGCAGCTCTTAATGGAATTGAGTCAAAGAGTAAGTTTAACTTGGCATCCGGATCTTGATGACCTTGAGGCACGCCCATGGACTCCTTCTCCAGGAATTCATATACCTCCTGATCATCAATGGTGGCAACAGGAGACGGCGTATACGTCTTGTCTTCGAGGGCTTTAAGATCCTGTGCGT